GTTTTGGTACTGGAAAATTTAAACCCATGTGTGGTGGCTCAATTGGAAACACGGTCGACTGCATGCTGGAGAGAAACTGTAAGGAGGTGACAGTCAGCGCATGCACAGGCAATAGCAAAGTCATCAACATAGAGTGATGACCAAATTTTTGATGGAAGACTAGAGGTCAAATCATGTGTTGTGCTCACAACACATCCCTGAGGGACACCTTCAGCTTGGATGAAGTCCGGGGAGAGCACATTATTAACCCGAACATGGAAATGTCTGTCAGTTTAAAAGTTCTTAAGGAAGGATGGTAGATTGCCTCGGAGGCCTAAGGAGTGGGCTTGGGCTAAAATATTATACTTCCAAGTTGTGTCATATGCCTTCTCAAGGTCAAAAAATATGGCAATAACTGAGTGGTTATTCGCAAAGACATTACGAACATATGTATCCAAGTGTAGTAAGGGGTCTATGGTAAAACATCCCTTACAAAAGCCATATTGACGAGTGGAGAGACTGTTGTGTGTCTCTAAATACCACACTAAACGTCTATTTACCAGGCGTTCCATCACTTTGCAAACTGCACTGGTAAGAGCAATGGGACGATAGTGGGAGGCTTCATGTCCTGTAGTGCCTGGTTTGCGGAAAGGGAGAACAATGGCAGATTTCCACGGCTGTGGAAGAACTCCTTGTGACCAAAGAAGATTGAAAAGGCGTAATAGGACTGCAAGGGCTGACTGATGTAAATGTTGTAGCATACGAATATGAATGTCATCGGGCCCAGCTGCTGATGATCAGCAAGCTGAGAGTGTTGCCTCCAGTTCTTGAAGTGTAAAAGGCACATTATACTGTTCTTCTCTGAGAGAAGAAAAGTCCAAAGGTGCTAACTCTCTGGCAGACTTTAAGGAAAGAAACGAGGGGCATAGATGGAGCCCCTGAGAAATACGGACCAGATGATTGCCAATTTCATTGGCAATATCTATTGGGTTTGCTATATCAACACCGGCAACCCGCAGAACAGGAGCCGAGTCAGGAGAATATTTACCACTCAGCTCTCGTGCTTTTTTCCAGACTGCACTCATAGAGGAAGCAGAGGTGATGGTGGAGACATAATCTCGCCAGAAAGTGCATTTAGTGTCACGGATGACACGGCAAGTGATAGCACGCTTCTGCTTAAAATCAAGAAGTCTCTCCGTGGTTCTATTGTACCGGTACCTGCCCCATGCAGCGCTATTCAAACATGCTGCACGAGCACAAGCAGGAGACCACGAAGGCACACATTTCTGAGAATGCCTGCCTGAAGTTTGGGGTATAGAATGAGAAGCTGCAGTTAAAACGGATGACGAAAAGAGGTGAAAAATCTCATCAATGGAGGACGAAGAAGGAACCTCACTAAAAACAGTTAGTTGTGAGTAAAGGCTCCAATTTGCCTGATCAAATTGCCAACGTGGAATACGAAGAGGTGGTGAATATGAAGGGAAGTAAGAATGATAGGGAAATGATCGCTGTCATGTAAATCCGGGAGAACAGACCAGGTGAAGTTTAATGCAGTGGAGGAAGAGCAGACTGAGAGATCGATGCAAGAGAGAGTGTGAGTCCAAGGATCAAAATGATGGGCATTGAAATCGCCAAGTAACAGAAGTGGTGGCGGTAATGACGAAACAAGAAAGGCAATATCCAGAATAGATAATGCCCGAGAAGGAGAGAGATATAAAGAACAGAGTGTATACCACCTATGCACGTGGATACAGGCTGCTGTGTAATGCAGCGAAATACGAACAAATAGCTGATGGTATGGAATATCAGTGTGTAGAAGTAGGGCACTTTCATTAAAGGTCCCATCAGGAAAAGGATCTGAAGAATACAATAAATTATAGCCTGAGATGGGATAGATAACAGCAGAGTGTAATTTTGGTTCCTGTAAGCAAATACCAACAGGGGAAAACTGGGAGAGTAACATCTGAAGCTCACCCCGATTACCCCTGAGGCTGTGTATATTCCACTGTAAATAGGCCATGATTGGCAACGATAAAGATACCTGAAATCCGCAGGTAAGGGTTCCTACAGACTAGAGGGGTTAAAAAAGTCCACATGCGGAGGCAGCGGAAAACATTCAAGCAGTGAAGGAATGGTGCGCTGCAAAGAAAGAAGTTACTCAGATGGAGGAGAGGAGAGAGAAGGAACAGAGGGTGGATCAGTGTCCATTGATGGTTTGGTCTCTGCAATATATTCAGAGATTGCTTCAAGTGTTTCGGAATTCAGAGACGTTGTATGGGAGACATTATTGGAGATGGTAGGGGGAGGATAAGTAAAGATTGGAACTGTAATGGATGTAATGGACTGTATCAAGGTATGGGGGAAAAAGGGTGGAGGGAACTGGAGAAGTGTGGAAGGGGACAGAAGAGGCAGAAACCTGGGAGGTGGCAGAAGAGGAAGAAACTTGGGAGGGAACAGGGGAGGAAGGTACAGTACGAGGAAGAGGGTGAACCTCTACACTTGTAACAGAGCCAGTGAGAGGGAAAGAACCAGGTACAGAGACAGGGAAGGTAAAATGAGGAGGTGGAAGAAGGGAAGGAGGGGTTAAAGGTCCTTTTTTTGACTTCTGAGAAGTAGAGGGACGATTGGGAGGATGTGTCATACGAGATCTCGTCGATACCGAGGCTTGTGAGGGAGAACACGAAGAAGTGAGAACATGCTTAGGCATTGAAGTAGGGGCGTCTGAGCCCAGGACAGCAAAAGAATTAGATACAGGATTGACTATGGGAGAGGTAACCACAGAGGAGGCTGCAGAAGATGGGACCCCAGAAGTGGGGGGACGTTTTGAAACAGGAATAAGAAACATGAGGTAGTCTTCCTTGGAGGCAAAGATGAGAAACTGCCATGGCATAAGGGAGACCTTCTGCCTCTTTGATGTAACGGATTTCCCGCTCATTTAAGTAGACTTTGCAACGGCGAGAATATGAAGGGTGAGCCTCATGACAATTAAGGCAAGAGGGAGGTCGACTGCAAGACGTATTAGAATGGTCATTGGCACCAAAGACTGGACATTTGGCTATAGATCTGCAATATTTCGCTGGATGGCCAAATCACCAGCAATTTCTACACTGTTGCGGTGTAGGGATCACCTTTCGAACTTGTAACCGATGTCCTGCTACATAAACTGAGGATGGGAGTACATGGCTGTCAAAAGTTAAATGAGCCACAATGCTAGAGTATCGTCTCCACCCGCAGGCAGGAAGAACATAAGTGTCTACCTTGAGGATTGGGAGATCTTGGAGTTCCAGCTGTTCAAGAATGTCAGTGCCACATGTCTGGAAATTTTGTTGAACTATGGTATGGGGCAGAATGACGGTACCACTACAAGAACAGAGGGAATGATGTTTTTCAATAGTAACAGGAGCAGTATCGATATGGGAAAGAAGAGAAAGCTCATGAGCTTGGGTAGCATTCTGTACAGTGATGATGCACGTACCGCTCTTAAGAGCATGAAAAGAAATATCTTTACCAACATGGCATAGGAGTGCCTTGCCAATACTGTGGTCAGAAAGATAGGCAATAGAGGAAGTTGGTCGTAAAGTGAAGAATTTAGTCCATTGTGCATTCTGAAACTGAGCGTGGAAAGGGAGTGCAGGACGTGTCGATCTTTTCTGAGAAGAACGAGAAGGTGGAGAAGTATCATCAGCAGGTAATTGTCGTTGGCGTTTAGGAGTGGGACCAGAGTTGGTCTGACGCGGAACGGGCCGGCGATTCGAAAATTGCCGCATTGTAGAGGGAGAGGCCGGAAGCATAGTCAAAGGAGAGCAGAGGTCAGATAAATTGAAGGAGTCAGTTGAGACCTCAGTACCTGAAGCGGGTGAGGAAACAGCACTGGCAAGAGGTACAGAGGCATTAGGAGTGTCCGAAGAGTGGTCCAAAGACGAGGTGGGGTCAGAACGGGGTGCGGTATCAAGAAGGGGCCCGGGGGTAGCAGATTCATGGACTAGAGCTTCCATGGTTAGGTTACTTCTTTCTTTTTGTTTTTAAGAAAAAAAAAGAAAGAAGAAAAGAAAAGAAAAATAAAAAAAAGAGTAAAAAAAGGGGGGACTGGGGAGGGATAGTTCCTGGGAGGAATGAGAGGGCCAGAAATCTCCCTCCGCACCCAAGAGGACCTCAGCACCGCAAGTAGTGCAGATGCAGCATGGAACCCATGCCATACCCTACCCATCATGCCAGTAAACCAGCAATCCGGGATAGCAACCTCACATCTGCCGAGCAACCTCATTGGACAAAAGAGAGGGCGGCTGGATATCCGCCGCAAAGCATACCTCCTTTGGCCACCACCCCCGGAATCCAAAAGGCAGCCTCCAGAGATACACCCGTCGCCCGAAAGATACCCAAAGCCACTCCCTGGGAGACCGGAGAGGGATTGGGACATCCCCAGGCGATCCAGATTCCACGGCAAACTACACCATCGCCAAGAACCTCAATGGAATGGGATGGACCCCAGTACCCTTTCCCCTACCCAGGAACTAGCATGTCTGTGGAAAAAAAAGGGGGGCCAAAAAAGAGGAAGGGTAATAGGGAGGGGTGGGGAGGAGGAGGAGGAAAAGAAAAAGGGAGGATGGGATAAGGGAGGGGGGATTGGGGGGTAATTAGGTTTGGTCTGAGGAAGGAAACCAACAGATCTAATTCCTCAGACCAAGAGCCTCTTCACCACGCCAAGGAGCCCCCCTTGAAGAGGTCCTGATTTTAAAACCTGAGAAAAGTAGGAAAAAATCTTCCAATACCTTCATTAATAAAAATAAACTCTTTATAACGTCTTTAATAGATTAGATAAACAAATTTAAGTTTGCATGTTATTTTTTCAGCATTAAAGATCAATAGTTTCAATCCTCTGATTGTATATTAATGGAGTGATTTCTTTTTTCAAAAAATTAACTCAGTTATTCCTTTTTTATTTTATTTTGGCATACTATTTTCATTTTGTAATATGAAGACCAGTTGAGAAGGATATTAATTAACACAATATATTTTCACAGTAATATTGATGCTCTGGAGCCCTCTGGAGGAATGATGAACATCCTGAAGAACACCGGAGTTTACACTCTCAAGTATCAGGAATTTATTGGCACTGGACACAGCACAGTTCCTAAAGGTGAGATTAAAGTCAGGAAGAGGTTGAACATACATAGCATAAATGAGACACTAGTGCAATACTTTAGTTTATTTATAGTAGAGATTTTTTGCAGAGGAATGAATTTCTCAATTGAATACTGAGAATGAACGGTGGCGCTAAAAAGTAATTTGTGGTTATGAGTCCCTCAGCCCTGACAGGAAGAGTTCCGTTCCTCAGCCTTTGTAAATTTAAAGATGGGTATAGACAGCCTATGTTGCCTGCCATTTGAGTTTATTTTTCGTGGGAACTATGCTGCTGACACCTAGCAGTACAGGCTTGCCAAGCTCAGGGTGACGCTGTACCACCTCGCCCTCACTTGGTGGCCTCTCACCCTAGGATCAACAGCCCCCTCCCTCCACGGCCTGGCTTTCGGCCTACACTCACTCTGCCCGCTGTGATCCCTTTTTAGTTCAACAAATCCGAAGCTAGTCAATCGGCAGTATTCCTCCTACCTCTACGCTACCCAGCAAGTAATCCCAAGGCCAAACTAGGCACAGATGGAGTTACAGGTAGTGGAAATAGGTCATATCAGTTTGAAAAATAACTAAAAATTATGATAAAGAAGTCCATAGGAGTGCGTGAAGGAGGGCATCAGTGCGTAAGCAAGGACAAGGTCACTAACACACATCTGACACACACGTACTGCTGACACTAACAAATACACGACGGCTGATCCATACAATGACTAAATTATCCACCATGATTCCAGAAGATATTATCATAGTCTCATCTGATCATTTTACAACATCTCATCAAATATTTCCCTTATCTGGGGTATTTTGAATTTCGTAAGAAATACTAAACAAAAAAAAAGAAAGATTTGTTCCTGGAAAATTGAACGTTGTTGTGTCAGACACAAATTATTATGCATCTCTGAAGGAAAACCTTCAGGGGTTTGCATGATTTTTTTTTCTTTTCCTTCCTCGATTTTTTTATTTCATTTGGTTACTAAGACAAGAGGGTCTAGTTGGATCATTTACAAAGTTGGTGCACTGTAATATAGACAAGACTGGTGCAACTACTGGTATGAACATCTGCCGTATGAACCAAGTTACATAATTCATTCCAGGATTCCTGGAGTGACTGATAATTTTGAAAAGCCTCTGCTGCTTGGCATTAAACATTTAAAAAACGTGCCTCGTACTTTTATGATAGATGAGAGTGAAATTGAAGAGTGTAAGTGAACATTAGTCAAATTTATATTTAAAATAGTTTTTCTTCGCCTGACTCACGAAATCACGGTCTGGAGTTTCGAGACTCTCTGACCGCGGGTTTAAATCCCGCTCGTGGTATGGTTTCTTCGCCTTTTTACTTGGACTACATAATTCTCAATGAGTCAAAAATATTATATAAAATTTGACATTGATATGCATTAAGTTACTAAGGAATACTAATTATCATCACCTTCAAACTGTCTTTACTGATTGATCAAATAAAATTAATTTTACAATATAAGTGTAAACATTACAGGAGTCAATTTACTAATACCCAGATACTGTTAATATAAACTTGGAATCGTAGAATAATTGAAAGATGATTTGTCTGGCTGACTTCAAACTGCGTCATCCAAACGTGGCAGAGGGAAGGCATCTGTAATAGTGACTTCATTCACCTTACGGTAGTCTGTACACATTCTAAAACCTTAATCAGATTTCTTAACAAGGATGCGCTGTGATGCCCTCGGACTGGATGACTCCTCCACTGATCCGTTTTCTAACACAAACGCTACATCCTGCTGAAGTAGCCTCTGTTTTTCAGAATTAGCTCTCTTGGGGGAGAGTTTAATAGGCTTAGTGTTTCCAACATCTACATCATGATGTCTCAGGGTACATATTTTCTGGACATTCGAAAATATGTCAGACTAACATTGTAAGAGGGCAGTTAGAATTATTATTTGATTTTTAGAGAGCTGCATCATTAAAGGGCTAGGGTCCTTGAGGAGGACAAAATTAGGAAGCTTAACTTGAATTTCTGGAATGGTGTGTGGAAAATTACATTTATCTGGATGTAACTCATAATGTACATACCAGTAAATGATAACAAAGATAATTATTATGTATCAAAGTTACATAGACAAGTAGGAATTTGGGACACCTAGGTCACAAAAAATGTCCCCCTTCGATACCTACAACTGTCATATCCACAAGTTGCTCTAGACCTATTAATTACAAATGAAATATGCATCACCAGGAATTCTGGTAAATATATAAATTTGTGGACTGTATAATAAAATTAATAAATGATTACACATACACATTTACATAACAGAAGGAGAATGTATCTTAATATCACTCACCAATTTGACTGGAGATTAATGTGTATCATACTCAAAAACCTCATTCTAACCAAATTTATGATGATAATACTGGCCAGAATTACAACACAAATTAGATAGCTTATCTGAGGTTCCTGGAGCTGTCTTGTCCAGTCGCCTGATATCTCAAGTTATGCAGGAATGCACATCCAACAATTTCGGCTCCTATTTGAGAGGTGTCAGCCCAATTTAACCTCTAGAGCACGAAAATTCTTCCGAATATTCACTAACGTTTGTGTTGACTAGTTCAAACATGGCGAGTCTCTTCTGCGCAAGCGCAGAATTTCCCATATTTTATAACATAAATTTTATTAAATACAATGTATTACACTAATTTACATAAAAAATACACTGTATTTTTTCCGGAAAATACATTATTTTCCACATGGTGTGCAAGGGATCAGGGTCGTCTACACAGGCAGAGGACAGCCATTATTGGGACTTTACGGGGACTGTTAAATATTTTAATCTGATTTAGGAGGTAACTTTTAATTTTCTAGGGTTTATTAAGGGGAAATACCATATAATTTACATCAGAGATTTTACTTATGATCTGCATGGGTCTCATAAATCTTACTTTTAAGGTGTGGCTAGGTACAGGTTCCTGTACCAACACCTTGTCTCCTGGAGTGAAGGAGCGAAACTTTGAGTTTCGGTCATACCTCTGCTTCATAGTGTTTTGAACAGATTTTAAGTTAGCCATAGGCTACTGACGGGCCACCTGCAACCTTGAAGAAGGTTTGTAAAGTGCTGTGCAGGCGTCTTCTCCCATCCATCCTTCCTTGAGCACTCACAGAGGACCTCATACATTGTGCTCGAGGATCAGTTCAAGTGGACTATACCATTTTGGTTCCTGCACAGTTTCTCTCATTGCGAACAGCAACAGAGGAAGTGATTCATCCCAGTCTGTAGGAAAATGCATGCACAAGGTTCTCATCATGTTTTTTTAACATCTGGTGAAATCTTTTCAAGGCGCCTTTGGACTGAGGATGATAGGCAGTGGATAATTTATGAATTATGCCTTGCCTAGCTAAAGCTTCCTTGAAAGCTTAGGCTGTAAAGTCTTAGGAATGCCAAAATAAGATATAACTTTAGTTATGGCTTTAAGAATGGCTTTGGTGTTTTTTTTATTATTATCACACTGGCCGATTCCCACCAAGGCAGGGTGGCCCGAAAAAGAAAAACTTTCACCATCATTCACTCCATCACTGTCTTGCCAGAAGGGTGCTTTACGCTACAGTTTTTAAACTGCAACATTAACACCCCTCCTTCAGAGTGCAGGCACTGTACTTCCCATCTCCAGGACTCAAGTCCGGCCTGCCGGTTTCCCTGAATCCCTTCATAAATGTTACTTTGCTCACACTCCAACAGCACGTCAAGTATTAAAAACCATTTGTCTCCATTCACTCCTATCTAACACGCTCACGCGTGTTTGGTGTTTATGCTGCACAATGTGACTGCTTCCGGATACGTAGTAGCTTTGTCCATGACAGTAAATAAGTATTGGTTTCGTGACTTGAATTTTGGTGATGGTGCCACACAATCAATGATTAGCTCTGCAAACGGTTCTCCATCTGCAGGCATACGATGAAGTGACGCGGGTTTAATGGGGTGTCCAGGTTTACCTACTTGCTGACGTTCCCAATAAGAGCTAATGTGATTCTTCACATCATACCTTATTTTTGGCCAGTTAAACTCTTTCAATATTCTATACAGAGTTTTTGTAATTCCTAAATGGCCTCCTAAAGAGGAATTGTGGACTATGTTTAAAAATTGTCACCTAAATTTCTTGGGCACTCTGATTTTGGTCTACCCCCTCCCTCCCCACCTCCTTACCAGTCTCTGTGCAGAGCAGTAGCTTGTGTTTAATTTGATATTTGACTGGGTGATCTGTGTGGGATTCATCCATGGCTGCCTGAAGGCAGTTATGGATGAAGGAAGGATCTGGAGTTTTGAGACTGTCTGACCGCAGGTTCAAATCCCACCCGTGGTATGGTTTGTAAGGAAGAATTTCTTTGCCGTTCTTCCCGGAAGGACAGCCCCTCGGGCATGGAAATAGAGATATCTGGCAATCCTGCAACTCTGGAGTAGAAAAGCTTGGTCTGGGACTTTTCACTAAACTTATGAGGCTCTGGCCAGTTTTTCTCGTAATACATAGAGTCTAGCCCTAGATCTGAGCCTTCCAAGGTTGGTTCAGCATTCTTGACAGACATCCCTCGGGATTTTGTCCGAGCTATGGCCAATATCGGAGAAGAATTAGTTATTATAGGTTCTGGACATATTGTTGAATTAAGAATGTTATTACCCAGTAATAACGTGGCATCTTTCATAGGGAATCCCTCAGGAACACCTACAGTCAAATATCCTGTATATTACTCTGCATATATATGCAAAGGGACAGAAAATACAGCCCCTCCAAATGCTTCTAAGAGAGCGGAGGAGTGCAATGATCTTTCAGAGAAGGGGAGGGCTCTTTCTCTTATAAGGGAACAATAAGCCCCGGTATCCCTAAAAGTTATAACTTTTTTTTTTCATTCTCCTGAAGGGAGTTGTGGCATTTACTGTATTATGGAGCCATACTACACTCTACTTCTTTTTGGTTCATCTCAAAAGGAAAGATGCTGATTTTCCCTCAGGGTTGGAGCTTAATTTGGCAGATGGACTT